TTTTTTTTTTTTTTTTTTTTTTTTTTTTTTTTTTTTTAACGTAATCGTTATTTCTCGAGATGCTTCGGTAATCTCTGTGCGTTACTTAGCAGAATTGTGCTCGACATTAGCGGAATTACTAGCAACAAAATACTCAGCTACGTATGTGGACACCAGTGGACTGGTTACTTTTATCGTGAAATGGCATTACTTTTTTCTTTTTTTTTTTTTGTTTTTTTTTCTACTAAACATCTCAAGATAAAAATAAAATGATTGTTTCCAAAACGAAATGCAAAGTGAATAATGAGATCGAATATATTGAAATGAACAAAATATGTAACAAAAAGTGAATCGAACGAACATTATGGATCTAAGACGAAATTTAAAAAAAGAAAAAAAAAACGTATTAAGAAACATGTGTGCCGTGTTAACAATTAGTTACACCACAATACAAAACCCAAAAGTGACCAACTGACATTCAATAAACCCAGGATATTTGATCGATAGCGTTGATTATCAAGGAAGATGCAGATATCCGAAAAATCGACGTCAGAACTGCTAGCTAGATTCTCGAAGTGTCAACAAATTTTCTCTGATTTTTATACACTACGTACAGATAAAACATACGAATTAAAACTTAACGTTAAAAAGTTAGCTAAAACTCCATACGAGACGCAGTAGAAACGCGTGCGTAGTTTTCGAATATCCGCACAGGATTTATTGCATTCTCTGCAGTCACTTAATTACCTTAAGTCACTATTACGATTATTAAAATCTTTCTGGACGGCTAAATTTTGTATGTGATAAATAGTATGATGGAAAGAAACTGATATTCGCTCATTCTCGCTTCGAATAGCTCTTCTTCTCGGTAGAAAAAAAAAAAAAAAAAAAGAAATGAAAAAGTAAATCAAAAAATCAAAGAACAAAGGAATGATATATGCGAATGGAATCGATGGTATTGAAGATTTACATAATCGAATGATCCGATAATATGATCGGATACTGAAACTTATCATGCATTACGAACGAATGAAATAATATCTCACTGAGCCGATTAAATGAATTTGAACGTTCAGTGATAGCGCTTATATAATAAGAAAGCTAAAAAATATATATATATATATATATATATATATATATATATCGATATATAGATATACGTAACTCTAGCTTATGGCTTACGGCTCTATACAAACTGGAATCTTAAACAAGATCATTACATCGCTACTTAATTATAAATGGCAGAATTATGCGCGTCAATAATATATAAGTACCATACTTTTTTTTGAGCGTTTTACCCTTTGTAATTCAATTTCCAAACTCTCATTCACCCCCATTTACCTATCCGTACATTTAAAATATGTTTCAAAGATTTTTTCATTATTTCTTTTCTGTAAAAGGTACTATGCGACAACATTGCATTATTTATAATATAGTTGAATCACAGTAATTGATGCTATTACTATAAACAGAAAAATTCAATTAATCACGGTCAGCTGACGATAAAAATACTCGTTATAATGTCTACTCTACTTAAAGCCTAAAACTTTTCTTGTACTTTATGCTTTACACGAGATATAGTTAAATCGATTTGACGAGATACTACGAGAAACGTCAGTCGATATTAATGAACCCAAAAATATAACAGTAAGTAACTTATCAAAAAATTGCTTACAAATTAAGAATGAGCCTTGTTCAGTGTTAACATTGAGGTCAAATTTGTTAGAAGAGGCTGATTAGGATGGTACTTACGTGACGGTATCTTTTTGAATACTGTCTTCGCCATGAAATCTTGAAAACGTTGCGCGTAAAAACCTGGCCGATGTACTGATACAGTATCCTGCAAAACAAATGCAATTCATGTTCTTTAAAACACACATGTACGATACAACGAACATGACCGATGATATACAAGTATGTTTGTAAATAATCATGAAAGATCGATCATTACAGAAAAAAGAAGAAAGAGGTTCATGTAACTTACGCCGTCGTGTATCATCGACTTCCAGGTATGTTCCAATTTTTTCTTGAGCCTGTAACTTTGCAAAATATCAATAATACCAACGAAGAGTAACAGGCGTTCGCCGCGAGCATTACGGGCGGGAATTCCACCTGGACTGCTAGGAACACGAACATAATTAAAAATCACATTACTAGAGCATATGTTTTGTATACAATCGTCGTACGAGGAAATGAAACCATAATACTCACGGTACGTCGTCCTCCTCGTCTATCGGCTCGCTTTCAGCCTGAATACTTTCCATAGCGGTACTGTGCGCAACCAACCTTTGTCGGTTTATGCTTCGCGATCGGTTCAGAGCGCTGGCACCTATTCTATCCTCCCGTTCCCGTTCTCTTTCTGCTTGAGTAAATGCTGCACTCTCACCTCCGACTTCGCCGATTTCTTCCTCCGCGCTCGCTGATAATCTCTGCTCCTGCTACGGCAGAAAGGATTGTGCTTTGTATTCTTGACAATAATGATTCTCTTTCTCATCACTTTTATGGTAGCTTACCGCTTTTTCTCTCGCAGCCTGGTCAAGGTTGTGAATACCAACGAGGAGAGAATAATCCATGATTTTAAAACTTTCCAACACCCGACAATCTCTTTGGATAGTTTTAACTAGAGCGCTGTATGTGTCCGCCTCCAAAAAGATCCCCTCCGGATGGTGTTCCATGAAATCCAAGTCTTTGTACGTTGGGGAAGACTTGGACCTTTCCGATTTCGATGCCTACGGATCAAAGGAATGTCCGTTGAAAAGAATACAAGTTCATCGAAATCGATATGGAAATGTGTCGAAATTCCAAACCTTTCTCTTGTACGTCGATCCTTTCAAGTCGTACTTCTGATGCAGTTTCACCGATGAGGGTAGAAGATTATTCATAGCGACTAATCTAACATTTTTACTATTACACCGATAGCAATACAACCCGAAGAACTTTGGCAATAACGTCCTCGGATTTTGATTTAGATTCTACAGATAAAAATTGGTCTTTTGATGAAAAAGAAATAAAAGACTTTGACATAAGACTATGTTGTATTTAAAAAGACAGTCAAGCTCACCATATAATATCCTGGAAGAAGCGTCTGTAAAAATTCTCCTTCTTTGTGTTGTACAGTCTTTATGATGAACTCGTCATCATCTGTTAGATAAAAGATACTTCCACTAGCGCCCGGGTTCGACAATTCGCGTAACGGAGCGCTACACATCGACATCTGAATATTCAAATGGTGTCGTTAGATGGCCGCCAATTAGCAAGCGAAATAGGCGATGACCGTGTTACAGAAGGAAATGTAAGGAATTCGTGATCTATTGTATCTCTTCGTAACTCGCCGGCAAGAGCAAATACACGATTACACAATATATATTTACCAGAAAGTCATCCGGTTGAATGCCAAAGAGATCGCGAAAGTAACGAAATGCAATGGGTGCGTAGTTTTTGAACTTAAACTCGGAGAAATGATGAGCAGGAGTGTGGTTAGATCCCTCGCTCGGGAAGTTCGTCGTTTCTACCGTCATGAAGTCTTGCATCAGTAAATCACGCTCTGGTTTACTAGCCAAACCGCCGACCGCGTGCTGGATACCAAGCTGGATGGATCCCATGATTTGTGTCGTTTGGATCTAAACATCAATGGAACGCGATAACAAGCAGCTCGCCCGAATTGATTCGGAGTTTTTAATATTTTCAAGTCACAACGGACAATTTCTGATAATTTCTTATTCTTGGTGGTTTTGTTATATTCCAAGGTGATGAGTTATTATTAATCTTTGGCATCTTTGGTCTCTCTCACAATCGTTATGATTCTAAATTGCCGGGATATTGTCCAAGACAAATAAGTCTATCTATCTATTTTGCTTTTTTTTCTTTATTTTTATCAAACTGTTTGCGAACTGATTACGGTTCTTAGGAATACCTTTTTGTACGTGATTTCACCTCCCACTCCAACTCTCCTGTGACCGATCTTCCTCTCTCGTTCCGATTTGTTCCTCGATACCCCCACAGGGGTTTTGGGCCCCGTGGTGCCATGCTGATTTATGGAGCTCTGCAAAGAACGTGGCATAAAAATTATCATCACGCCGAAAGCATTAGGAACGCGTCCATAAAATTTCAGTAGAGAAAGATTCTACTCGCCTGTATTTATAATCACGGAACTACACTTCTAAAACGCTAAATATCGACTCTGGCTACATGTTAATAGTGAAAAATTGGCGAATATTAGTTATAGTGAAAGCAGAAAACTTTTCAGATGCAGGTGGTTAATGTCGAAGGCAAGATATCGGACGAAAATTACTTTACTCGCGTTTGCTTTGCCCTCCATCTCGACACTTCGTAACGTCACAGCATCTCTTACGGCATTACGCTTATACTTATACTTATTTGAAGATTTATTCAACGGTAAATGAAGATGCACTCCGACATCGCGTCGAACTGTTCACTGTTCACCGAGGCACGAGAGGATGCACCGAAGAAGAAATACACGGGCATGCGTCATTCGAATGAATAATTACACAACTATTCTTATCTCTAGAGACCGGTGGCATAATGCATCTCCTCGCAAGCTAGACTCGAACGTCTTGCTCACAACGTTGCCACTTCGAATCACCGTACTCGATTGGCAGAACGTTCCCGCCGTATTTTCCCCGAGAAAATCTCAATGAACGTCATAATAGGTAATAGCGTCGCGATGAAACAACGATTAATCGATTGGAGAATGAACGAGTAACGTCTGTCTCGTTTATCGATCGTCGTCTACGCGATACGCATCGGAAGGAAAGTCGATTAACACGTGCTGGCGCGAAAATAGAATCTTAACAAACGAAACGAATGATCGAACACGGATGGGACAAACGATGAATGGTCGTAGAGGTTGTACAATCGAAAAGAATCGAAGCCTCCTGTATTGATCGATTGTCGAGAGAGACGTGCACGTTGTACACGGCGGTAAAATTGACATGTCGAGTGGAACGACGCGTTCGAATGGAATAAACGTGTGAAAATACAGGGAACGGCAAAGAGATAGCGAGGATTTTTCTTATATAACATTCACCTGCATCTGCGAAGCATAGTTCCGTGTCTGGTAACGTTACTCCGTACTTTTTTTGCTTAAAAAATTAAACTGCACGGAACCCGAGCGAATATATACACACGTTTGAACATATACAAACGTTATATCAGATTTATACTCGAAATCTTTAGTCACTGTTTTTAGTTAAAAAAAACACGAAGAAGTGTTTTATTCTCTTTAAGTGTTTTATTTCATTTTGAGAATGTACTTAATTGTTTTTAAGCTGCTCGACGTAATCAGCGTAAATGCATATGTCATAAGATATAAGAAGACGACAAAATTTTCTAGTTGCTTTTTTAAATCATCATTTATTATAAAATTGTATTAGATCAAGAAAAATTAAATATAACTACAATTTTACTTTAACAGCAAATTTTCTTTACTGCATGACGTGTTACGTTAAGCAAAAAAAAAAGCCATCTTTTCATTACGAATACCCTCGACATATCTAATCATCGAGAGGGTAAATTAGAGAGGACGATGTACATAGCAGAAGGACGTAGTATTATTTTTATATCCTGCAAATTTTCATACCTGGTATGATAATTTGCACTACAATTTGCATACGAAAATATAGATAATTACTTTTGCATTTAACCGTCATTAAATAAATAGCTGGAACGGAAGGACGATAGGCAGTGAGCCGCCCGGAGAATTTCGATAGCTATGCCTACATAAAGCTGTTTATTAGTTATTACGCATCACTTTCTCTCTTCGTTCGTCTTTGGTGAGTCAGAGTGTGCGAATGTCAATATCAATATCCATAGGACGCGCGTGGAAGAAGAAGTAATTCTTCACAATATCGAGGAGAAGTATGCGAGGAATTGTATGTTTTTTACTTACGTCAAATGCTGTCACCTTATCCCCTGTAGATTTATCTGTAACACATCGAAAACAACATATTTGTTACACGAAATAAGGTCACGTAACAGTTGACTCTCGACGTGCACACCGTAATATATATATGTGTGTGTGTGTGTATATATATATATTACGTCGGCGTTAAAATGAACGAAAGTCCCGTTTTTAATGCGAGTATCGGAGTACCGGAGGGATTCACGCGTGTAAAGGAAGATCGCACGTTTAAAATGATCGGCCGAGTCAATCGCGTGTATTCCCGGAAAGAAGCGAGAAAGTGGAACGTTAACCGAGTTCAAAAACGAAAGTCGTGCACACGCTGATTACAACGTGGATCCGCTATATTGACACATGTAAGCCTCGGTTACCGTTAATCCTGTTCACTACTAAATTTCCTGCCCTTGCACAAGGTCTCTCGCGAAGTAGGTTCATTCAATTCTTTTTTTCGTTCAAGAACTCTCAGTCCAACGTTCGTGACGAACGCTGTAAAGGTTCCCCGAAGTTCATTCACATTCACGTCAACGTTATTCTCGCGAAAATTTGCGACGCGAAAGAAAATCAAAATGACATCGGACGATCGTACTTCCAACGTGTTAAAACAATGATTCGCTGAATAAAAGGGAGTCGAAAAGTGCATGTCTCTAGTAGAGTTCCCTCGAAGGCCGGGCGTTAGTGTACATTAGCGACGGGTGACACCCATCAGCTGTCAAATAACGAACCGGATTCAGCGTAGGGTAGCCTCGAACGAGCATGCACGGTGTTTGTCCGGCTGGCGACTTAACAAGGGACGGGGGAACGCAGCGCGGGCATGCGGAAGCGAAACGAAAATCCGATCGGCCAGAATCGATCGATCACGCCTATTTCTCGCCGTCCACGTCTCGCGGCGCAAATACCTCGGCACATCGCGAGAAACGATGCCCGTCTGTTACAAGCGTTTGGCAATCGCGTTGCTTTTGTAGGTTAGGTTGTGACACTTCGGCCGAGAACCGACGAACAACCTCGACGGTTGAAGGATCCTACTCACTGTCCTCGTCCGCATACTGTTCCGGTCTGAGATGATCCTCCGTGGCTTGCACCGGGCCAGTGAAGCTTGTCTCGACCACTTCGATCACGTCCACATTGTCGCCCGAAGCCATTTTGTACGTACGTGCCTTCTTTCAATCCACCGAGCGCACTGACTCACGTACGACAACGACGATCTTTCTGACAGTTTCGCGAAGGCGCCTCCTCTGTCGTCGCTTTGCACAACGGCAGCATCTTTCGAGAAACACAGCACGTTCAGGCCGACGTGTACGTAACGCGCACTTCCTCGCGGAACATCTCTCCTTGTTTCAACTCGCGCGTCGACCGTTTCACCACGGTGAAGAAAAAAAAAATGTATATATGTATATCAATGATATAGACAGCCTCAAAGGCTCTCCAGCTCCGGGCTGAGAACACCCACGAACCTCGAGAGCGCCTCCGGCCTCCCTGCTATTCGTCTATTGACCGGACGCCATCTTGCCCCGATTTCATCGCCATCTCTCGGCGATACTTGCAACCTACGCATGCCCCAAGGCGCCTCTACATGTAATCACCTATATTTTAACGACTTATTGTGCACGCATTTTCATATACCTACTCCATGTATATTTAAATATCATTAATTTGGCAATTCGAAGAAAATAATGACACGAACAAGTTAACGAGCGATTGGCAAGAATAAAAATTCTGATTACAAAACGTTCATTTATTAAATGGTTACCGACTGTAGGTCTGACGCGGTTCAATTTAAAAGTTCTAAATACACGATGAGTACACGGCGATTGAAATAGATATTGTCTCATGAACAAAAACAAACAAAAAAAAAAAAAAAATAAAGTACGTGAAATGACTAAGTGCAATGTTACGCAAATAAAAGATAAAATGTGTATTTACGTGTATCTTATCAGTGAATCTGTATACGAGCAATTGAGCGATATTAATATACTATACATACATTAATATATCATACATGACACGCGTATCGAACTATAATTAACCATAATCTTTTATATTTTACGTACCGATTTGGAAAACACGCAACATTCTATTTTCGCTTCCATTAGCAGATAAAAAGTCTCTATATTTATGCTTTTAAATTACGCTGAATACAGCGGCAGATGCTAACGATATTGGTCTTGAAATTGATTACGACTCGTATTTAGTCGATGAAAAGGAAAATTCTCAGTTGTCGGGAAAATAATTTCTCATTTCGTCAAATTACATCGATCATCAGCATCAACCTCAGCAATGCTTGTAAAAGTAAAAACTTTATTACTCTGCAAATATACTGCGTATATTCTTACATATCGAGTGTTATTCTTATGATTTCCAGTTATATCATGGTTAGATTTAAATGGCCTTTCAACAAGATACAAATGCAACGAGTAATACTTTTGACCATTATCAGTATGATCTCATACGGAATACTGAAGGATCACATGAAATACGAAAAAGAGGTAATTGTGTGCATCACGTCCAATCGCGGAGAATTATAATTTTTGGCCATCGAATTAGAATCATTCAATGTTAAAAATGTGAAGAATATCGAAGTTTCGAGCGATTCTAATTCGATGACCAGGGAATACACTTTTCTTACTTTCCTTGATGCAATCATCGCCAACGTGTATCGTTGCTTCTTCAAAATTTGTGTACCAAGAGAAGAGTGCAACGCGGTACGTAGATTTATCGAAGTTATGAGTCATCGTTCGATTTAATTGTTGGCAAGCTGCACTATTGGAATGACTCGTTAACATCCGGTGCCATTAATTCATTGTGTCCAGACCGTTCATTAGAGAGTACATTGATCGTGTAAAATGTTTCACATAAAAGGTTTCGCCTAATGCGCGGCCAGATGGACGAGATTTATAGCGGACACTCCACAATTAATTATCATACCGTTCGATGAGACTTTCTTCATTCAATTCGGTGTATTCCGTTTGGTATTCTTGGTATTTCTCCCCAGATTCATGAGCATCTTCGTTATTCATGGTGGAAAATCTAACACGCCCCGGCATTGATGAACCGCTGATCCGTGTATAGATATCGGATGTTTATATCACGCGACGCGTTGTACGTACTTGAATCGCAATTTGTATATATATATAGTTGCCGTGATACAACAATTAATAATGCATAATTTTCACGTCAAATTTCACTCAATTATGTATAAACTGGCTCACGAAAATATTTGAACATTTGTAGAAGCTTTTCAGCACTGTATAATTTATTATCAAGATTATTTATAGTTTAGAAGACCCATCTTTAAAAATTGAAACTTTTCTTACCATTAGCTTTTGAAAATTTAATCAATGCTGCAATATTTGATTACACTTAGCTGTGATTACAAAAACAAAAAAAAAAAAAATAAAAATAAAAACGTGTCCGAATACTTTTGAGCGTATATATAAGAGGTCAAAACGGAGGTTCGATATCAATTAACAACACGAAACGGAAGTGCGGAATCTGTTTCGTGAATTTTTCACTCGATTTGATATTAAGAAACAGATGCTGGTCACGAAAGAGATGCGTGACGCCAGTTGCGCTCGATACGAGGCAATTAGCCGTTCTTAGAATCCGAACGAGCATATTTTTAACCTGACTATTCAACAAGATAACACGATGTCGCCGTGTTCAGCTCGAGGCGTGAATCAATTAGTTTTTTCACTCTGTCATCGGGTAATATTCACTGCTCTCTCTCTCTCTCTCTCTCTCTCTCTTTCTCTCTGATATCAATCTTTTCATCGATTACACGGCGCATCATCCTTTCCACCGTGCCTGGCCGAGTTCCTCCGGGAACCGATTATCCCGACGAACGATTTCTGCTTATATTAATCGTCCTTTACCGCTACGAATCCCGCTAGCTTCGATGCCGGAAAGATCGCAAACATTAGATCGAAATCAAACGTGCGCCGTCGAATAACAGAAACCATTTCTTACCGCGGTTAAATGGCAAGTATGCGAATTAAACCGAGGAACGCGATAATGCTCATGTACATACGCGCGTAGATCCACGATACTCGGCTATACAGGGTGCTTCAGAAAGTCGATGTCAAACCTTAGAATCGTGTAACAATTAAGAGGGTCTTAATAAGTACTTACTAGTTTCGGAGTTGTACAAAGTCTGATTTATTTCTATCTATAGCATGCATCAATCGAATCCCGACAGTCGGATCTCATTACAGTGCTAACGAGCGAGTGTTATCATACTAAAGTGAAAAGAGATATATACTTTGATTATTGTTGCTAGACGACTGCTCGGTCAAGTGATAATTTATTTGATGAATTCGTGCTGTTACAGACTGACACAATTGAAAACGATTCGTAACTCTGAAACTAATGACATTCGGACCCTTTCAATAAAAATCTGTTTCAATGAGTACTTCTCAAGTTTCTGAAACACTGTACAACGTAGAGAGGAAAAGAAAAGGAAGGGAAAGAGAAGAGGAAAAAAAGAAAAGAGCGTATCGTTTCCTTTATAAAACTCGATCGAACGTGTTCCTGCCATATCGCATTAAGACGCGTGCTCCGTGTGATGTTACGAGATCAGCCGGCTCGATTATTAAGTCGTCGATGTTTAAACGGACTAATCAACAGCGACCCTAATTAGTTTGATGAAAGAATCAAATGTAGACGTGGTTACCTGTGTAAATATCCACGTAACGTACGCGTGTTACGTGTAATTACAATGACGAAGACGATCGTTCCTCAGGAAATCGTTTCGAACAATATATATATAAAAAAAAAAAAAAAAGAAAAAACAGGCCACTTCGATCGCGCAATGTCGATTCTGACAAATCATAAAAAAAAAACAGAAGACTTTAATTAATCCGATGAAACGAGCTTTCCGTTCTTACGACCCCGCCTGACCTTGTAATTCTTTTTTTTCTCTCACGATCAAGGTGGCGGAGTACATGAACTCGTTGGAGTATCGACAGGCGATAGAAGCTAGCAACGAACACAGACAACGGCTGAAGAGCCAGCAACAGCTTTTCTGTGACAATATCAACGGATCCTCCGGAGAAATCGAGACTCGCGTGGAAGATAAGATCAAGTGATTCTGTTTTGAGTTGGTAATATTCGCGATCAAGCGACACGCTGGTATTTGAATAAAGGTTCAAGGGATATAGACAAACCTGTGTTGCGACTCTAGAGCAACGTATTAATGTAATAACGCGCTTGGCAAGAGGCATTCTGTCGTGTCGATGATCACGGTGACGAGGAGGCGAAGAGTAAATTTCATTAGCCGCTTATCCGATTTATCGCGTTTCGTCTATGCTAGGTGAGATAGTAGATATTGGCAAGACTTACCGCTTCGAAATTCGCGTCTAGGAAGCGAAGCTACACCAGTTTACAATGGTCCGACACTTTTAAAGATTTGTAACAGAAACGATTCTTGTGACAAATATCATGTCAAAAATAATCGAAATAAACGAAATTATGTTCCTCCAATTCCCTGGAAACGAAACACGTGGACAAGAATCGTTTTTGTCGAGAGTCGTTCAATTGAGAAGGCTATCTCGACGGAACATCGGGTATCTACATAACAAGAAAAGTAATTGTTTCAAGAAACGGAACAGGAGAAGAGAGCAGAAATTTGGCAACAAACCGGCGTAACGATAGAATTCTTACGATTTTTCCTCTAGACTTTTCGTCCATCGGTAATCGAGATCCCGATGGGAACAATGGCTGTTAGTTTCGCAGGAGCTTCGATCGTTTTCAACGAGTATCTGGCCGGCGGTATCGCGGACGTAAGGTCAGGGTGGACATGATATTTCCTGTATCGGCCGCAAGACAAAGGAACAAAAGCTACTCAAAGTACGCGAAGCGTGTAAGCGTACCGCGAGTTAAGAGAAATGACCACAATTTGTTGATCGTTAACGCGAAGTTAACCAACTGCATTGCTAATTACTCTGTTCCTCTTTAAGCTTCAAGGAAGTTGAAATTCATCGACTTTTCATCCTTTTCGTCTTGATTATAATAATACGTAATTGAACCTCGCGGATGCCGAACTGATCGACACCACTCCTTGCTGATTTCTTGTTTTCATTCACGTAAGTGTACAATTGACGTTCAATTCTCAAGAAACAAACGATTTATTTTCACAAGTTTGTTCATCGTAAAAAGACGATGGTATGTGATAGTGAATTTTGGGATAAATTAAGTTGCTCAATGATGCAATCGATTATGATTGAAAAGTTCCACGAGTTTTCATTTCATATGCAAGGGATACTTATCTGAACATGGACGCATAGTTATATATGCTTTATTGCCTCATGACACGTACTATGATTTACTATATCGCGAGTTATTATGGCACCAGCTATTAGACGTGTTTCGTAAAGCGATCCAGATAAGCAGTTACGAGAGAGGTCGTCGAAATCATCGTTTCCAAGGCGAAGAAAATATAACACGATTTCTATAATATTTGCAAGAACACGCATGTGGAAAAGCACTGTTATTTCAGTCGACGAATTAGTTGAAAAAGGAGAGAAAGAACAATAAAGAAGAAGAGTGAAAACATTGTGGAATTAAAAATATTTGATATCGCTTTTCTTTTTTTCTTCATTATTCTCGTTCTCCTTTCAAAGAAGCAAGTTCAGCGAACGGAAAAGAATAATTTAATCGATAAAATCGTCAGTGTAATTCCGGTGAGTTTTACTCTAGCGAGTTGTCGTGTAAGGAAAAAAAGATAATAGTATAATTAAAGTCTCGCGCGAGTTGCGCGACGTTGACTCATATTACATTCGCGGTGATTTTGCTTTTATCGTGATTCAATTTGAATGAACACGTACAGAGGAGAAAGTCTCCAAATTTTGCAATTGCTTCATTTATTAATTAAAAATCAGGTTAAATTAAATTTTAAATAAAAGTCAATCCGTGATTTTTTTAGATTCTGAATGACTGTAAAATGTAAGTAATTTTCAATAATTCTGAAAATACGCCTTTAAATAATCTTGCGAGAAATCTGAAAAGAATGCATATAGAATTGTGATGAGATTTGTACATTATCTAAAAGTTTATTTTTTAACGCAATAAAAAAGAAAACATTCAACCCAGAAAAATTATTTGTATACTAATAGAAAAATCTTCTGAAGCAATTTTGTAGATATTTTCTTTAAACTTTTTTCCCGATATCTTTTACCACTTCGAGATACGTTCAAATTACATTGACAAGCCAAGATAAATGAAGCCATCGACTTGTTTTTATAACTTTTACTAGCTGTCAATTGATCGATCGAGCATTTTTACATATTCATTGGATGTTCATAATGTTCACGTTACATCACTGATAAATTGCTGCCAGTTGTATACATAGCAGATAAAACTGTTTGTGGGTATCTTACCCAACGTGTGTGTCATAGCGACATAACGTTATATTGCTTCCATCAGTCCGTTTAATTAAGTCGTTTTAGGACATGCCTGTGGCTTTATATCTCCGACACATTTCGGCAGTTGAACAAGTATTGTATACTTAGAGTCGAATAGAAAGGCGAGTACGTTAGAGCAAGCGAAACTCAGACGAGGTTTCACAGTACAAATCATCCAGAGCTTATGAAAAATTACGATCGACGTGGAAAATTACAAGAATGGCGCACGATCATAGAATCAGCATCGTTACTGTACCAGATAAACCTACCGAACACCACAAAACCGAGTCAGGTGAGTTTTGCTTTTGCCAGAGAATCTTACATACACATACTTAAACGTATCGTTTAGACGAATGTTTTTTTTGAAAAGGGAAATTTTATCCAACGTGTGTTGAACAGATGAAGCAAATCGAAGGAAGAGCGGTGGCTTCGAGGCAGCCATTGCCGCAGCTGGCCATGGAAAATTTCAATATCTTCTCCTTCTGGCGATTATCCCGGTATCTTGGGCAACCAGCATCGACACTTCCAGTGTCGCGATCATCCTCCCCTCCGCAGAGTGCGATTTACAAATGACATTCTTTCAAAAGGGTGTCCTAAATGCCGTCACGTATGTAGGTCCGTATAAATAAAGATATTATTGTCATGATTTCAAGAATGGATCGCGATTTGTAAACTGTGCAATGATCTAATTGTACGTTGTGTTCGCCACAAAATCTCGCGAGTGACTGGTCTGAATCAGTACCTACGACTACTGCTACTACTAGTTGGTTCTAAGCGTGTCTGACTACAGTGTATGTACTCGCCGTCTGTAACAATACACAATAGGGGTGTGCGGGTAGCCCGAAGATTTCGAATCGAGTTGGAAAAAGTTCAAGGGGGATAGGATCAGAGGTGGGCATTATTCGAATAACATTTCGAATAAATTCTTCGAATAAAATTTCGAATAAATTATTCGATATTTACGAATAACGATTTTATTCGAACAAAGCTTATTCGAACACACAATTATTCGAATTGGGCATTATTCGAATAACATTTCGAATAAAATTTTATTCGTATAATATTTCGAAGAACATTTTATTCGAAATATTTACTGAAATAATGTAAAGAAAAAGAGTCGGGAGTCCTTTCTTCACAATTTTGGTTTATTTAATAAATTTGCCTTTAGTACAATTTTTTATTCGAACATTTTGTTAGTCAATCTGTTTGCTTTAGGTGAGTTTGTTGTCGTTGCAAATGAAAACAAATGCTCTGCTGGAGCAGAAGATGGCGAAGGAGTGTTATATTTCAGAAATATATTTTTAATTATGGTATATGCGTTCAGAGATGCGTAACCATTTCTATTATCTGTAAAATGTTGTAGTACAAGAATTTCTACGTTATCATTTGTTTGTAAATGTTGGTCGGTTGAAGTAGATTCCGCTTTATTAAATATTAAAAGCAAAGCAAATTTATTAAATAAACCAAAATTGAAAAAAAAGTATTCCCGACTCTTTTTCTTTACATTATTTCAGTAAATATTTTGAATAAAATTTTATTCGAAGAATTTATTCGAATAATGCCCAACTCTAATCCTATCCTCCTTGAACTTTTTCCAACTCGATCCGAAATCGTCGGACTACCCGAAATCTAGGACCGAGCCCGCCTGACTTTGTGAAAGCCCGACCCAAACAGTCGGGTACCCGTAATTTCGAATACCCGCACACTCCTAATACACAATGATTAAAGTCACTTATATTCGAACGTTTCAGGAATGGTTTCCAGTGGTTTTCTATGGGGCTACATCGCCGATGTCAAAGGCAGGAGATCCGTTTTCCTTTACGGCTATCTAGCTGACAGTATTTGTAACATTCTGTCGGGGTTCTCGCAGAATTTCTGGATGCTCGCGTGTTTCAAATTCCTCAATGGTTTTATGTGAGTCTTTTAGATCCCGGATCGTTTGAATATCAATCCGAGACATCAAGAACTGTTATCACACGTCGAACTGTATTTTCTATTTCGTTCCAATGTTTTTCTTTTTTTTTTTTTTAAATCAATTCCATCAGAATAAGCGGCCCCCACGCGTCCATCGTCGCTTACACTTCTGAATTTTTCGGGGACAGAACAAGAGGAAAAATTCCATTGATCCTCGGATTTTCCATCACGTTTGGAAATATCGTGAGCGCAGGTACAGTGCCAGATCGAGATAAAATGCTTGTTTAAAACACTCGTCACGTCACGCTGAATCTTGCAGGGCTCGCGTTCATCGTCATTCCACAACGGTGGTCCGTCGTCCTGTGGGACGGCGCGTTTGTCTATAATTCATGGAGACTCTTTCTATCCGCCTGTGGTGTGCCAATATTGATCGGCGCTAGTTGTCTCTCCCTTTTCCCGGAAAGCCCGAAATTCCTCATGTCGCAGGGTCGTATGGAGGACGCGTTGAAGGTTTTCAAGAAGATCTACAGAATAAACACGGGGAAATCCGCGGACGAGTACCCGGTGAGAAATTCGAAACTCTCTTCGTTCGAATAATTTGACAATCAAATTATTTTATTGCGACCTTATTGCAATTTTATAGAAAAAAATCAGAATTCCAAGAAATCAATTTTAAATGTTTTTTTATCGACGGTGTTGGAACGATCTCTGTTTCAGATAGATTATCTGGAGAACGAGCTCCCTAAAGCGGGATTCAACGACAACGATCACGATGGAAAAATAAAAAAGAGGGCGATTTTCTTTAATCCGCATCTGCCTCGAATCATCATGGTCATGATCATACAATTTGGATCGATGTACACGTGAGTGTTCTGGGTCGATATTACCTTACTAAATAATGTTATTCTTCAATTTAATCGATTGAAATTAAAAAGAAATTATTACTATATGTATTAAATTTCTTAGAACAATATAATCAAGTAAATATATAATTATTATTAAATAAATTATACAAATAAATTCAATCGTAAAAATAATTTAAAATATTAAATTTAAAAATCTTATTTTCTGATTTGTCAGATTCATAATTTATTTTAATTAATAATAATAATAATCTTAAAATACTCTCACGTACCATAAATATTAAAAATATAAAAAATAATCTATATCTACATATATATAATTATAAACAAAATAAAAATTACATGTACAAATTCCATTATAATTAAAAATCTTGAATGATGAAAACATTATATTTTACAAACATAATTATAATAATAATAATTAATTCTCAAACACAATCAATTCGTGATTCGACGAAACGAATCGGTGTCAGGAGAGACGTTACAAATGAATCGTTGTTAAAAAGCAGTTAGCGAGATGACTTTTTAAATCGATTCGTTTCGTCGGAATGGCAGCCACCTGTGAAGCGAACGACCACGTTTCCTTTTTCTATAAATACCTCGCGTTCTCGCGTGTAATGAAGCGCGAGGAATCGAAACGCGATGTTGTCATATCACGGCTTGATATGACGTGAAAAAAGTAAATCGTAGAAAAATCCACGAAACGTCAGTGAAGAAGCAGTATTGTATAAGAAGAGGGAAGCGAGTTAATATCCTTACTATTCCTCGTGTTTTGCAGAACCAACACGACTCGCCTGTGGCAGCCTCAACTTTTCACGATACTGGAAAATTTCGACCCGGCGGATCACAATCTGACGGCGGAGCACAGTTCGACGTTTTGCGAAATCTTGGATCTCTCCACCGTTGCGAACGGAACTTTCGCAGCCACTGCGGGAAACGCGACTTGTACAAACGTGGGGAAATCTAATAGTTTGCAGTTTGCTGTTTCTCATCGTCCCTTTTCGACCAATTTTCGATACAAATACCAGTCCCCTGCTGGTAAAATTCTCTGACCACGCGATGCTCTTTGAATTTTCCAGATCGTCGTCGACGACTCCGTTTACGTGAACACGGTCATTGTAGCCGCCTTCGGATGTCTCCTTCTTCTGTTGAATAGCTTTCTACTGAATATACTGAGCCACCAAATCTTACTGTGTAAGTGTTTGACGACGAGCGTTTTACAAAACTTGATAATACTGGACGATACGATTGCAGATATTTCTTACGGAGTAGCATTCGCGTGCATAGTCGGCCTGTACTGGTCGTCGGAAATACTTGTAACGTTAATTCTAACGAGTTTCTTCATTGGATTGACGAACACCACTCAAAATATAATCATCGCCGCAACTGTCATCATGTTTCCAACTTCTCTAAGGTCGTTGCGCCACGTTGACAATATTAGACATTAGACACGAGATTTAGCATTGATAATTAAAAACGAAACGTTCCCCTTTTGCAAAATTAGGACGATCGCAGTGAGCCTGGTGATGACAATCGGTAGAATAGGATCGATCGTTGGTAACATGCTCTTTCCAATTTTACTGGCACAAGGATGCATCGCACCCATGATCCAGTTGGCGTGCTTGATCTTACGTAAGTTAAATCCATCGTCCGATCTTTCGTCTCTATCCTCGGAAATATCATAATTTGCCCCTTTTTATTGCAGTCTGCACCACTTTAACGTGTTTCCTTCCACTGAAGGCGACCAAGAAGGCCAAGCAATAAGAAATAACGATCTGCAGAATCAGTTCAGTTTTCCAGCCACGCATAGCGAGTCCATCTCATACTGGAAACCTGCGTCCACAACGAAGGAACAACCCTCGTTAGAATTGGGCCAACGTGGACAAACAGTCGACACTGCCAGTAGCCGGCAGACCGAAAGATAAAATAGATTTATACGTGACTGCGTTACGGTATTAAGCGTCTCTCCGAGGATTTGCCAACTTCGCGGAGAAGTTTCTACGTGCAAACACATACTCCCTGTGTGACCACTGGATGGTAGATCGCATCTCAGATAGCCTACAGACCCCGTTCCCCGACGTTGAACCAAGTTGAATTACGCTCATCCTTGAATCGTTCCGAAATGAACCGCGATGCTTCAAACGACGTAACAAACGACATACGAATGCATTCTAAAGGGAGGCAGGCAAACTCAATCGAATGATCAAAGAAACGCGCGAGTGGATGAGCGAGCCAGTAATTAGCGTGGCCACTAATATTACGAAGCATATGCCAGTGAAACGAAACAAGAGATTAACAGAAGAGGATATGCAAAACGAGAGGATAATAGAGAAACAGAGGATCGAGGCAAGGATCGAGAGAACAACGACGACGACAACGGTGTGTTCGTTGCACAATGGAAGGGCGGGATGTTTCCAGTCGGGCACTCCTCACGGTCATATTTTTCAGCCGGAGGAGAGGATCGATCTCGATTTGAAACAATGATCGAGCGCCTCGAGGACGAACACGCGGTGTGTTCCTCGGCAGTGTGGCGGGCACCAAGTTGGCTCGCGGGGGCCTTGGGTTTCACTTTCGACACATCCTGGAGAGCCCTCCGCGCTGCAGCCTTCACCCACATGCTCGTTCTTCTCGATCCCCCGCGCGCTACGGCTCCGTTTGCAGGCCCGGCGTTTCGTGTGGACGCTGGTTTTATCGCTCGCCCGGGATCTCGACACCTTCGCGCCGGCCACGTTGATCGAGTAATTACGCGTGTCCATAAAAGCGACCGCGCGTATCACAATGGGAGAAAGTCAAGGTGTCAAGTTGGCCGCAACCTGACGTTCTATTCAGTCGATAGATTGATGACTGGATTTTCTTTTTTTCTTTTCTTTTTTTTTTTTTGGTTTGATTCATCCTCGGACGACGGAAACTGGTTCGTTAGATTACGACTCGGTGCAGATATTTATTGGAAAATCGTATTCTTTATGTATGAAACGACTTGGTATATATTATGCTATATATATTTTCTATATTCTTATGTATCAGTTTTCGTAGGAATCAAGGTGCAATATACATTACTTTATTATTTCGTATATTGTTCGATCACACGCGCTGTGGAAGTATTTCATTTTACGTTTCATGATTCGATGCTACTTGTATGTTTGTGAGTTTAATTACAGTTACGATCCATGTGATCGTGAAATAGAAAGAACATTCATTTAATTGGATTGAATTTAATTGAATTAACGGGACGCGAATGGCAATAAACGCTGCTCGTTGAAAGCAAATTATCCTCTGTCCCGCTTGAACGAACACCCGTACACTTTTGCGTCGGCTGATTCCCAATATTATCCTTCAAACAGAGCACAATGGAAACCCCGTCTGTCAGGGAAAACACGTCTACCAGCTTCGTGCGCGCATACTTTACTTTCTTTGTCCAAAACAAAGTGGCGAGACTGTAAATGGCATTGCGCAACAATGCTTAAAGAAGAAAGTTACTGGGGTAGAACTGACTCGCGTAAGAAACGTCCGAGGTGACGCCTAAGACGACATTCCGCATAAATTGCAGAAACGTGCAGACGTACGCGCGCGCGTGCCTTCGAGGAAAAAGGTGTTGGCATTGTTTTTCTCTCCGGCGTTTTTAGAGCTTTTAAGAGCGTCGTTACCACGCGACTGTCTGAAGAATTTTTCGACAATTTCTCCCTCCTGTCTGCGTTCAAACAAAGTGTTTAAAAGAAGATCTCGTAGAGGTGCCCAACCTTTTACATCTTCTAGGACTAAATTCGTTGAGGGCTAAACACAGCTTACATATTTTTTTATCACTTCAATGTAACCTACATATAGTTTTTATAATTCAATGTAACCTATCATAATTATTTACGAGGATATTAAAACAACTTTTATAGTGAAACAATACATGAATTAGAAAAATATATTTATATTAATAAAAATGTTGAATGAGAACGCTGAGCTTGTTCTTTAGATACCAGTCCATCAATGTCTAGTTTGATACAGGTATCGCAATACGAAGATGCTCGTCTGAAGCTTCTTTTTTTATTTCATTTTTCTCTTTGGTGTGCTTCATGTGGGAAAAGAATATAAGTACGAATGTATGTTCCTGAAAAAGTGCTGAATATTTTTCTTTTGACAGGTGTAGTTTATAAAAGTCTAAAAGACACTTGGATAAATTTCTTCCCCGAGTTGTATATCTGATTGCAACTCGATACATTCCATTTGCACGTTTGCCGGCAGCATATTGATATCAAGTAAGAATGGAGTAGCAAATACGCCAACCGTCTGAAATAGAAAAAAAACTATTTCGTTGGCACTTGGAATTTATTATTCATAATTAGTCACTCTAACGCTGAATTTAAAAAAAAGACGTATGATGATTGGTGATTAAAATTATTAATATTAATATTAATATTCAAATAATATTAATATTAATATTAATATTCAAATAATAAAAAAATTATTCAACTATTTCAATTTTGGTTGTAAAGCCGGGGACTGGGCACAATCGAATCATTCTCTACGGACACGAAGACATATCGCGATTTCACGGCCGTTGTTCGCTCGATCGTTCCCTCTTCCGGAGAAATAGAACGGACGACGCGTGGGTACGGCCACTGGCAGTCAGTCGCATCAGAATCACCCCGATACTGTTAACTCTTCCATTTTCCTCCTTCCCTCCCTTTCCCCTTCGTTGGCTTCCTCTCTCTTGTAGTCGTGGGAGGACGAGACGTTTCAGGCAAACGCAGACAAAAGTAATTTGTCAAGCCGCGACCGCAGTAACCAACTCCAACCAACGTTTTCAAGCTGCTTCGTCTTAAGTGAAATTAACTTCGTGGGCTCGTAATTTATAGAAAATTTCTTCACCACAGTACAACACCGCGTGCGGTGGAAGAGATCCGTGGGAGATCTAGACGAGAGATTTCGAGAAATGTTTCTGACATTTTTGGAAAGTACAGAACTATAGTTTCTTCCGAGGGACCACCCGGGCGACGAAGAAAAATAATTGAAATAATCTTGATAGTTTTCTCGTCGTGATGGTGAAAGAAGTATTCTCTGAACAAGAACCGAGGAAATGACAGGAAATGTGTAAAATGATAGCGTTTCGGTATATCGTCTTTACTCTTCGATGTATTATGATAGTTGTCGTCGTTAAAAAATTTAACGCGAGCTTCATTCGATGACGATGAAATTTACGAGGCTTTCTCGTCGTTTTATAATTTTTTTTACATTTACATCGAAAATGCGTGATATCGAAAATAATCGTGGTTCGAGAGGTTCAAGCGAGCGGGGTTGAAGGAACAGGCGATGCATCCACTTACCCAGATATGTATTATAAAGCACTCGTGCGCGCGCTCCGCGATGCATCGCATTGCTTTTCATTTATGCACCTACCTATGTAAATGAGAGTGTTATCTGAAAGTATCTACCGCTACGCCGAGATCCGCTATGCCTATGGAACACCGTGCGACTCGTTGGCTCCTTACCGTTCTTGTTCAATTCTTTCTCCCTCGGTATGCCTTCCCGAAGCTTCCTTGTTCGCCTCTTCCCGTTGCTCCTGCGCCGCAGAACCCGGAGACCTCTTCTCCTGATCCTTGTCTTTCGTGGTTCCTCAGTCTGCTTTCATTCCTCTTCCCACCTCTCTCTCTCTCTCTCTTTCTCTCTCTCTACGTTGTCCTTTCTTTCGTACTCCTCGATTTTCCTTCGAGCTGCTTCCAAGATCTCTCCTCGAGATTGCCAACGCGTTGATTTTCTGTTCAGTCGGACAGCGTGTGTTTACCACGCGTGTAACGTAATATCGTGATTTTGAAATTTTGTTGTCGATGCAGGTTGAGGAAACCTTTGATCCCTCGAGACGGAAGACAGGGTTCAACATTCCGGAAGGAAATATGACGACATGAAGGAAATATAAATAAATATATCTCACAATATGACGATGTGAGCAACGAGATATATATATACACACTTCAAAAGTTAAGGCACGCGTTTTGAACTTTAAGAGATAATTTCACGTACGTTCGCACGATTCTATGGCTGTTCGTACTAAATTTAACCATTACCACGATCGATAAATGGCATCTTAACTTTGTTGTGGAATTTCGAGCTAGTTTCACTTTGCAGAGTCAGCAAAAGCAAAAATAGCCAACTTGGCATTAAGCTCTCACGCTGGAATGACGTGCCACGCACACGGAGAACTTTTTGTCCTAAAATTGCAATATTTTCTCAGTCATATTTAAGCATAACCCAGGCAAAACAAATAATAAATTTACTATTACTTCTTAATAATTTCTACCCAGTGATATCGTGTTCAAAAAGAAAGCGACGAATTATTGTATACGGTTTGGTCACTCGTTACGGTCCGCAGTCAGTTGCCCAGCACGCAAGTGGTCAAAGGCTCTTTTTGTTTGATCTTTCCTCTTGCCGACCTCGTTCCTTCAGTTTTTCTGCTCCCGAGTAATCGAATAATGATCCATTGCCATAAATATCTTCTCTTGAACAACCTTCCTCGGAAGCCGAGTGCTTCTTTTCTTCGGCGACATATTTTTTCCAGATTATGCTTCGTTCAATGCACGTCGCACAACGAACGTATTGTGAGGGGAAAAAGAGAAGAAACGAAATTTTAAACCCACGTAAATATTGTCGATTGTCGATTCTCTGATTGTCGAAAATCTTACCCTCAAAACCTCCGACAAGCTCGTATTTTATGTCTTAAGATTGGATCTAGACAAATAGTCTCAAAAGTTTGGTCCTTTTTTTACTGCGACAATCGTAGCAGACGATAGATCCCTCGTTCTTAGACTTCACAGAAGAAATTTCGAATAACGTGACTTCCTTATCCCTTCGGGATCATAGAACACGAAGATGAAATTTCGCAGCATCATCAGCTATACTATCTATACTATAATTACGCGTCCAATTTTTTTTTTTTTTTTTTTTTACCATTCTGACAAACTTTAGCAACGTTGAACGCGTTACGCGATGGAAGCAAAACTCGAATAGAAAGATCGAAGTGAAAACTGATGGCACGACAAACGTGATTGTTTGAGTGAATCCAAGAGGCTCGTTCGGCGTGGACGCGGTACTTCCGGCGACAATGACGATGCAGCATCCGTGACAGGTCCTCGAAGACCACCAAGACGAGTAGCCGAATGGCAGCTCGACAGGCAGAGATTGTCATGTCTCTGAAGAAGCGACTCAATCTGCGGATATCCGCGTGTCGTCGCCGCACTGGCGAGGTCCCCGATAATTAAACTCCGATGCATCGTTTCTCCTGGTGGTTTTTATCCAGGTAACCGCTAATCGCTTTCAACAACTTCTTTTTGGCTTTCGATGAAAACCAAGAGGTCACCGAGAGGCTGAGAAAAGGCTTATCTCCGTGGATGGAAGAGATCAACGCAACAGGAGTGAAGTAATACGAAACTTTTTTTAGTAATCATACAGTTTCCATTATATTACACATCCATTGATAAGATCGAAGATATCGAAGACAGTGTATATGAGAGATAAGAAATCAGCTGATGATATCGTGGTCGAGGATAATACCCATCCACGATTCTCTGATCCACCGGTTGTTATCGAATCTTCGAACGTTTAGTTAATCTCTTTAAACTCCGATCAGATGCTAATTTGTTCGAGAAAACACCCTACAGGTTTTCGTAGTTTGTGACTTGTATTTCGACAAATGAACGATTTTGATCGCGCGACATCGACTGTAATAGGGGTGAAGTGATACGAGATTTTTTTTTTAGTAATTATACAGTTTCCATTATATTATATATCCATCGATAAAGTAGGAAATCAGCCGATAATATTATGGTCAAGGTTAATATCTATCCGATTCTCTGATCCTCGAATTATCATCGAATCTTCGAAAGTTTCGTTATTCTGCTTAAATCTGATCATTTGCCATTTCACTTTTGGTTTTTGCAGCTGCGATTTATATTTCGATTGCGCGACATCTGTTTCTTCTCAGGCTTGTTATCAATGTGTAATATGAGATCTATCCCATCGAAACACTTTACATGGAAATCCATTGAACTGCAACTGATATTAAAATATTGCAACTGATTTCAAGACGCGAAATTTGTTAAAATTGACAGAGAAAAATCGACGAAGTCATCCCGAAGGAAAATTCGCAAATCGACGTGCTCGATCGTCAGGAGGAACCTGAGCGATAGCAGGATTCGCGACTTGAGAAGTCAGAGTCATCC